TATAAATATAACTTACATTTTGTTCATATCAAAATTAGCGCCAGAAAACAATTGAGCGAATGAAAAATATAAAGAGAACTGTCAAAGTGTGAAATGGTATTTTATTTTACGTAGCATAGAAATCAAAATCGTACAGACTCCCATGTTTAGCACTGTTCGTTTATGTGTTGGCTAATCTGTTATATACACAGCTCATTAAAAAGATTTATTATGTGACAGATCCCAAAGCATGCAATGCACTGCCAATTATGCATAACAGAGCCTTCACAGTTAAAGAATGGAGCCCCAGAGGTGGCCAAAACTCACACAATCATATATTTTAATTTTGCTGAACGATGAGGGAATGAAGAGAATAAGTCGCTCACGCGTCTGATGCAAACAGTGTTGTCAACGATTTCGAGTTGTAAATTATAAGAAAGAGGGGTTTTTTATTATGCAAATAGTGTGAAAGGTAGGTATAATATTAAAGAATTAACATTTTAATATAATTTAATTCACTTTCATTGCTTGCTTAGATTTTTTATTACAATTAAAATTAAAGCAAATAGTTGAATTAATTTCTATTAATCTTCTTATTTTGAATTAAAAGAAAAGGGATTTTTTAGCATTACTTAAAATTCGTCTTTTTATTTATGTGATTTACGTAATAATTTATTAATTCAATATTTAGGAATAAGAGGAAATGGCGCCTAACAAAAAAGTTTGTCGTCCGTGCGATTTCTTCGTGACACACCAAACATTGTGCCCTCCCTTCCCATTACTAGTGAGTAAAAAAATCTACATCCGAATCCATATTATCCGAAAGTTTCGCATCGATTGAGCACGAGTACAGCAAAACCATAATCGTCGGCGTCACTGATTCATAGAGTATGCGCATTATGTGTGAAAGCAGCGCAGTTTTTCTCGTGTACGTGTGAAAGCAGAAGAGAAAAATTTGGCAAACGTGCCTATGAAATGGCCACCCTTGCTTTAAACCAGCCAAAAAGAGAAAAGTCTTAAAATGAGAATGTATTAGTTATGAAATAAAAAATGAGAATGTGTTGGGAGTAATGCACGGAAAAAAATTTCTGTGTTGCATTACTTATTATAAAAACTTTGGTATGTTTTTTTGCCGTTTTTTTCATTGTGCGTTATTTTTTAGATCAAAACAACATAATAATAATAATAATAATATCCCAACGGTTTTTACCCTCCATTCCCGCCCATCCGCACGAGGGGCGCAGTCCGCATGACGTACGGAACCAATATTTTAAATTTTTTGTGCCGAGTCACGATAGGCAGGGTTTGTTAAGTGTCGAGATATAAAACTGTTCAGCTACAGAACTAAATTCATCAGCTGATTTTATGTA